TACACAGGGATACACATTTCACGCGAGTACTATTGTTGCTCGGATTCCACTTGACAGAGAGATACGTATCATAGTCATTCACGCGCCCGCAAATTAGAAGCGCCGACGCAAAGCGATGATCACGTCGGCGAAACGATGATCGCAGATGTTGATGATCCTACAGAAAAATGCGGTACATCCGGTATCATGGATTTATATATCTGATGTTGGGTCCTATTAGCACTCTTTCAAGTCACGCTTCTTTATCTCTCTTAATATTTCCGACGAAGCTGCGTCAGAATGAACGCGCTATACCAATGATACGAGAAACGAGCCATTGAACGGCGAGGAATATATAAACCGATAATGCGGCCAGTTTCCTGGCAAGGAAATCGGATTTCAAAGCACGTGCGACGATAATAATAGCGTCATCGCCGGCTACGTCGCGCGGTTTTAAATGCCTCGACATTAGCATCATCTCCGCATTTGAAGTGTTAATGATCAATCAATGATGATAAGCAAGTCCCTCGTTTTTTGAGAGGCTTAAAATTATCACACGTCGACACGTATCTACATCTCAAGAAAAGGGGGTACAAATGTATACTTTTTAAAAAGAAGATGATCCAGGAAGGGGTATTAATTTGTTCATAAATTAAATATACACGTATTTAAGAAAATAAAATTTCGAAAATATATATTTTTATCAACGATAATTAATTGTTAACTCTTATAAACCTGATTTTAATGCAACCATTTATAAATTATTTTTTTATTCAATTCAGAGGATATTTTAATAAATTTATATTGAAAAATTAATTTTTTCCAAATTTTGGTTATTTTTTCAACATATATTATTACGTACGTACATTTGGTCTCAGATAATGTCAATAGAACTGAGTAGTTTTCAAATTCGATGTACGTACATTACAATGTGCACAGGTTTGAAAGGGTTAATATAATTTTATAAATATTTTAATCAATAAGCAGAAATTGTACATCAAAAAGAGCTCACATACTTTTAAAAGAGTATAAGTAACCTATACGTATCGCATGGGGTATAATTCAATTTAACATAAAAACCGAGAGAGAACAATTCTTACAGTTATGCAATCGACACCAGAAACGAAACGTCTTTCTTTGGTAAGCTCCTGTGAAGTGATATAATAAAAATTTGCAAGGCATAAAACGTATACTAATTGTGCTAAGTGCATTCATCACATCGGTCAAAACCTCATGAATAAATTATTATCTCGCATACTTGTTACACGAAAGAGCGATTTTGCTGAAAGATCTAAAACTTGCTAAATACCTATGCAGGAAATACTAAAAATTATTTTATTAGACCATGAAAATAATTTTGCTAAAAACTTAAACTGATTGCTAGAAATAGTTTTCAGCATTGCTCATCATTTTTTAGTCTCTAACATAATTATTTTGATAGTCCGGTAAAGTTATTTTCAAATCTGTATCCACACTGAGAAATATTTGTAGTTGGAAATGAACGAAAATGATCTTAACTACACGCGAAAAGAACTATTTTGCTGAAGAATCAAAAAATTTAGTTAGATATAAATATAAAAATAATTTTGTTGAAATATATATATTAAAATAATTATGTAGAACATTCAAAGGCTGCTAGAATGTTAACATTTTTTATGACATTGCTCATCATGCTTGAAATTTCTACGAACTATTTTCATAGTCCAATAAGAAAATTATTTTCAGATCTAGTTAAATTTTTAGATCCTTCAACAAATCGTTCTTTCCACGTAGAATTAACGAGATAATAGATAGATAGATTTAACGAGAAAATTCTGATTTGTCTATTTTCAACCAGAATTTCAATTAACGCAACTTTTTCTAATGTAGAAAAATTTTCGATCCTTTAACGAAATAGTTCTTTCCATGTAGGAACCGTAGAAATTACCGCTCGGAAAGTTTATGATTGTTCTGACGTAGAACACGAATCGTCGGCGTTTGTAGGATTGCGGCCGAGAATGTCGATACTGGCTGTGAAGTGCATGCATCATTTTCATCCTTATTGTTCACCGAATGATAAACAAGAATAAAATGATACATCATGCGCTTTATGGAACCAGGAGATTGTTGACAGACGTTCTTGGTGCGTATCACGCAACCGATACGCGTTATACACGCCCACGTACAAAAAACACGCGCGCGATCGTAACCTGGTATGGTTACGCTGACAAGGAAAAAGAGAGCGGCAAGGACGATACGATACAATGGGGTGGCGAATGGAGAGGAATAATAGCCGCAGATACTTCGAGAGCATTTTTCATCACGCGTTTAGAAAAGCGTAGCGAAAAATCGAGCACTAATACGAATTGCAGGACAAATATTTGGTAAAATGAAAGAGAAATGCATGAAAAAAAAAATTAGAATGAAAGATTAGAATGATGATGTATTAAAAAATCGGGGCAAGAATAAATTAAAAATTGGAGTAAAAAAAGGTATATGACAAAAATTAGAGCAAGAATAAATGACAAACTGGGGTGACAATGTATCAAAAATTGTAGCAAAGATACCAAAAATTAAAGCCAAAATGCTGGAAAAAAATCAAAGCAAGAATAAATAAAAAATCGGAGCAAAGATGTATGACAAATTGAAACAAAAATGGACGGAAGTGTCAAGATAAAATCATTCCTCATTGCGAACATTTGTAAACTATCAATTGGTACCCCGCGATCGTGTAGTTTACATTAGTTCTCATTATTTTCCAGAATCGGATTCAAGAATCGACGGTTTATACAAACGAGGAGCGATAGAAGAAGCGCGGCGATCGAAGATCGGGACTCGAGTTAATTTCAGTGAATCACGTTTACGAGAACGACCCGTCATCGTGACACGGGTGTTACACGAATCGTCGTAACTCACCTCCTCGAGGGACGTGATGGTCTGCCTGCACTGTGGCATTCGTGAGACGAAAGTGGACGTAGTGGGCGAGTTGTAGTCCTCCCTCGTCTCCTCGACGAACTCGCTCACGGCGATCAGGCCCGGCATCTTTCCGCCCGTTCTCGTTTTCCGTCAGTTGTTCCGTCTCCCGCCGTCCACCCCACTCCTCCCTCAGCGCCCAGCTGCAAGCGAGGCTGTCCCTTCGGCGGATCGCTTCTCGCCACCGCGACTCCCCCTTGCTCGTCCTCGTCGCCGTCGCCGTCGCGATCGTCGTCGCCGGCGTCCGCGCGCACTTTTACACTCCGCGGACACCGTTCACTTCACTTGTCTCTCACCATGAATTCCACGGGGACACCCCGATCGACACGTTTTCCGCCTCTCTGTGACGAACGGTATAAAACGTCGTCCCGGCACGAAGAGTGACAAAGACCGAGAGAGAGGGGGGGGGAGAGCGCGCGCGGGTGTGTGTGGATGGAAAGAGGGCGCAACAGAGAGAGAGAGAGAGAGAGAGACGGAGTGAAATGAATGACAAGGGGACGAGGGAGCGTGACAGAGAGACAGATTTCGAGCAGCGTGTCCGACGGCCGCCACCACCTCTCCGTGTCCGCGCAGAGAGGGAGGGGTGCGAAAGAGAGACGGAGAGACACTCGCGGGACGCCGGTGGCGTGATTATTTTCGCGACACGGTCGCGAAGACGCATAGCAGCAACACAACACCAGCCAGCGACTCGCTCTTTTTCGTCAGCGAGGAGCGCGGGTCACCACGCACACATGCACGCGCGCATGCACCCCGCTGCGGCGAACGAACGGACCGACGACGCGCACGAATATACATAAAAACAGACTGAAGGCACACGCGCGCGCACGCCTACACACAGAGCTACCGTCCGCGGGGGATGTTCCTTTGCACTTCAATCTCGCTGTCTCGCACCTAAACGCACACCCTAACCACCTCGGTCGCGGTGCCGAGTACCGCCGAAACACTCGCGACTGCGGCCGAAGTTTCACTGAGGCGGCGCTGTCGACGCGCGCGCGACCAGACGTTCGCCACGGAACGAAGCGTATTCAGAGCGGCCATACGCCGTAGCGGACGGCGACGATAACGAGCTGCAGACGGCAGCACGCGGGAAATTGAAAAAAGCGGATGGCCGCTCGACAATTTGAAATTTTATAGCTGACGAACGTTTATAAAAATAAAAATTATTTTTTTAAGGAAAAATTGATAGATTTATATTCTCATCGTGAAAGATTTAATACTTTTTTTTCTAGATAATCAAAAAATAAATATTTAATTAATAAAAGAATATTGTAAAGGAAAAAGTATTTAGCTATATTTTTTGCTAGTTCTTTACAGTGTTTTAAGGTGCTAGTAGTATTATTATCAAATTGACAATTTAATTGCGATATTATTTTGACTTTAATTTATGCAATTCTAGTACCAGCGAGTTCACCTGGTTGGAATTTACATACACAATTATTATTGTAGACACCATCATCTGCAGCCTCGCCCCTTTCTTCTTGCTTATTTGATTAAATAAAATATTTCCAATTTTGACAATTGTATTTTGATTACAACTTTTTTGTATCTCTATATCATACGACAGAAATTTTATAAAATATATATATTAATACATAACAAGGGATTTAGATATATTTATATCTACATTAAATGATATATCCTATATTTATATTTACATTAAATGCTATATTCTATTACTAAATTATGTATAACATTTTCCTGTAATTTACCTCGATAAAACTTAAAAAAGAAAAGTCTTGCGTAAATGCTATATTATATTTGGAACAGCATCAATTGCTAAAAGAATCTTTCAAGCAATTATTTATTAAAGTTGTCAAGTAGGTTTGCTATAGAAATATATTTCGCATACAATGTAATAACTCTATTATTCATGAATATGTATCTAACATTCTGAATACGTATCTCCAATTGTGCTAAAAAACGAATTATTGTCATAGATCTGATTAAAGCAACATTCTATAAAAACTTTTAGATATCATTCAGCAAATTTAACAAAATTATGTTCATACAATTAAAAAAGCAAATATCAAGTATTTAAATATGTTTTATTACAGAAACATAAAAGAATATTACAATACAACTTCCTGAAGCTTAAGTTGCTTTTTGCTCTTAGCTTTAACTTGAGCAGCGATTCGATCCAAGTCCCTACGTCCTTGGCTAGTCAATTTGCGTCCACCGAGAGGTGCCTTCTCAATCAACTTCAGCTGCTCCAAACTTTGGAGCGCCTTGCGTGCCACACCACCTGCTGATCGACAGAAGTGGCTGGGATGAGTGCCGTTGCGTTTGCGTCCACCAAAGATTTTAGTAACTGCACCGACTCCAATTGGGCTACGAATGTAGATGTGACGCACTAGGGCCGCACATCTGATATAGTACCAGTCAGGATCGTAAGGAGCCAATTCCTTGAACTTTGCTGTTTTCACAATATCCACCCATTCTGGTACCCTCATCTTGCCAGTTCTAAGTTTTTATACAATTGAATTACAAAATCTATATCACAGTAAATACATAGAAACTATTTTAAAAAAATATAGTCGACATAAACACCATTCTGTCCTTCTTGGCATTTAACAAAGGCAGAATAATACTTGTGTTAACTACGTTTTCTAAAAGAAAAGTAGCTAGAGTCATAGTATATAATTATTCTTATAACATACCATGTGAAGCAGAAATTTTTATAAAAGTAAATTAAAATAATGTAGAAAAGAATTAATAGCAATATTAAATGATAAAAAATAAGTAACAACAGTTCAATGTGTTCTAAACATTACACATGCATGAAATAGGTTATAGGACAGGTTACAGTTATAGGTTAGGATCTTTACTTGTCAGTATTTTTACTTACTTTTTGAGAAAGGCTGCGAAAGCCTTCACAAATTTTTGCTGATCAACGTCTTTCAGCGTTACAGACGGCATCTGAAAGAAAAGTTTAATTTGATAAAATAATACACGAAAAAGTACGTATGTACACAGATCACACGTGTAAAATACAAATGAATGCTCTGACCCTAATAATCGGTAAAATAGTAAAAGCCATTAAATTGATATGATTCTCATTATACCTTTTCATATATTGTTCACTAAATAAAACTTAAATCGCCAAAAGATTATCAACACCACGCACCTTTGCGAGAACGCAAACCGGAAAGAAGAAAGCCCAAGTAGCAAAGGGACGGCTGGAATTATGAAATGGTAACCATAACACGAGGCAACAGGCGGAAAATTCAAAAAGTCGGACAAATACTTCGTGATATCGTGTTCTTGAAATGAATATTCTGCTTATACTAAAATTATGCAATTGAAATAAAATAATGTATCATAAATAATTAAATTAAATCTTTCAGGTATTATTTTATTAAATTTCATAGTCATATGATATAAAAATTTAGAGAGAGAGAGAGAGAGAAAGAGAGAAGATTGCATTATATTTTGTTATACATATCTAGTATATATTTTTTTATTTTCATAAAGTATGTATTTCTTTTTTAGTTTTATCAAAAGAATTACAAGAACAATTTTAATTATAATTCAAACCTAATTTAATAACCGAATATAGTGTTTTTAATGTAATAAAGTATTATATGTATCCTTATTGGACGTCTGTTCAAGAACATTTCTGGTAATTCCTATATGGGATTATCAAAAACAATTATAATAAAAGTATGATTTAGATTTGAGAATTTTGTAAGAGATGGCACTAATGCCAGTGTTGTCAAAAATATTCCAATCACAGTTATTGTTTCTTATTGATGCTTCAATTATTGTATGATATTTAAGTCTCACTTACTAACAAATAGACGCAGTAAACATATCGTGTTTATACCATCTTAAAAATGGAGATTTCTAGAGAGCATATTCGACATGCGTTGCTTTTGTTTTTTAATCAGAAAATAACGACGGCTGAAGGTCATAGAATTCTGATGGATACTTACGATGATGGTGCCCCATCAATTGCGACATGTGAAAATTGGTTCAGGCAATTCAAAAGTGATTTGAATATTATCAACGAAGAACCAAAAAAGATAGAAAATGCTGATCTGCAAGCATTATTGGAAAATCCAGCACAATCCACTTCAGAACTTGCCAGAGCATTAGACGATCATTTTGAATATACCATTTTAAAAGTGAAGATTTCTAAAAAGCATATTCGACATGCGTTGCTTTTGTTTTTTAATCAGAAAAAATCGGCGACTGAAAGTTATAAAATTCTGGTGGAAACTTACGGTGATGGTGCCCCAATCATTAAGACATGTGAAAAGTGGTTCAGGCAATTCGAAAGTGGTAACTTTAATGTTAACAACAAAAAACCAAAAAAAATAGAAAATACAAATCTACAAGCATCATTGGACGAAAATACAGTACAATCCACTTCAAACCTTGCCAAAGCATTTTTAGATGTTCGTTATACCACCTTAAAAGTGGAGATTTCTAAAGAGCATATTCGACATGCGTTGTTTTTGTTTTTTAATCAGAAAATAACGGCGACTGAAAGTCATAGAATTCTGACGGATATTTACGGTGATGGTGTCACGTCACTTACGACATGTGAAAAGTGGTTCAGGCAATTCGAAAGTGGTGACTTCAATGTTAACGACGAAGAACCAAAAGAGATAGAAAATGCAGATCCGCAAGCATTATTGGACGAAAATTCAGGACAATCCTTTTTAGACGTTGCAGACCTGGTAGCATTATTTGACAAAAATAATCCAGTACAATTCACTTCAAAACTTGCAGATATGCAAGCAATATTATTGGACGAAGGTCCAGCACAATCCACTTCAGAACTTGCCGGAGCATTAGATGTTCATTATGAATATACCACCTTAAAAACGAAGATTTCTAAAGAGCATATTGGACATGCGATGCTTTTGTTTTTTAATCAGAAAATATGGACTGAAGGTCATAGAATTCTGACGGATACTTACGGTGATCGTGTCACGTCATTTACGGCATGTGAACAGTGGGTCAAGCAATTCAAAAGTGGTGACTTCAATATTAAAGTCAAAGAATCAAAAAATAAAATAAGGTTAAAAAAGCTGCAAGCATTATTGGACGAAAATCCAACACTATCCACTGAAGAACTTGCCAAAGCATTAGATGTTCATAATAACACAGTTTTAAAATATTTACATAAGATGGGACGAATATGTCGCAAGGAAGAAAAATGGACTTCAATAAAAAACGTAAATTCCATCATAGTACTTTTTTTATATTAATATAATTTTAAATAAAACTATTTATAAATTATATATTTAAATAATACATCTTTTCAATGTAATAATTTAAATAATAATTTATTATTCTATCTTTTCATATTTGATATCGAAAAAAATTTTGTTTGCAGTGCACCAATGGCTACTCTTGACAAATTTTTTTAATCTACCAATGAGTATTGGTAGTAAATATCGTAATGCATCTTTGATATCGATCAATATAAGCAACAGATTACAATAAATCAACTACATAATTTTATTTTAATTTTCTCATACATTTCGTTTTTTAAAATTAGTTAAATTTTCCAAAAATCTGCTATAATTATGCACTTTTGAACAATGAGAACAAGTATTAACCGGAAATAGCACAAGATGATAGATGACTAATTAGGATTGTGTGCTTTTCAAGATATACGATTGTCTCGAAAAGGCGTGACCATCTGATATAGACATCTGCATATAAGTATAATTCACATTAATCTCATTGATAGAAATGATTCTTATAATTCAATAATCAACGAGTAACGCAACGTGACGTGGCTAACTGATACGAAAACTGATATGAAAAAGATGGCAAAAGATAAGTATTGCACAAGTAGCGGAATATACGCTTATCTTTTTTTAAACGAGAGGACATAAATTGAGGACTCGAAGTAGTGGAAACTGTCGTTATCGTCGGTAGTTAAACGTGGCGCTACGTGACGAGACATTGGTTTTATACGTGCGTATCATGATCCGTAATTTTTATCGAGTATCATCGCCAATAATTTTATGGAAAAATGGCACACGAGCTAAACATGCCATGGTTGACGTTCTGACGGAGCGTGTGACTTTTTCAAGGGATTTCCTGTTTCGTCAGGTAACATTCGTGCAAAGGATAAGTCCGATAAATTGGCTAACCGGCGCAAGTCCAACAAAATAATGTCCAATGAGCATGCATTAACCGCAGCGTCATCTGACGAGCAATACTTCAAGGTGGTTCGATTATGCATTCAAGTTCGTCTGGTCACTTAGATTTAGAGCGATGGACGGATTCGTATGAACTTAGCCGATAACGAATTGTTTACGTTTTATATATATATAAATATATATATGTTACACATTATTATATATATAATAATATATATATAATAATATATATATAATAATATCTGTATCATATATATATATATATGTATATATCATTCAAATAATTAATTAAATCTTTTGTACATGTACAGTTGGCTGAAAAAATTAATTAAATAAAATTTTTGTATAGAATTATATTTCGTATGAGAGATCTTGTGACAATTCAAAAGGTTTGGTACTTTCTTGGATAATTTAAATTGAGTATTTTTAATTAAATTTAGTAATGTGATTAGCTGACACTTCAGCTTATTGCAAATTTATTCGAATTCTAAACGGTTTTAAGATTCCATTCAGTTGATGAAATGACCGAACCAATAGCGTACTTAACGTGATTTTAAATGTCAAATTGAAATAGCGATAGTCTTAGTTGCTTATATTTTGTCCAACTTTTCGTATATAAAGATAAGAGTGACTTTGATAAAACTATGATTAACTTAATTAGCGATAATTCTGTCTTTTTTGACAAAATGATATCTACAAAAAAGTGTTGCTATTTGATAAATTAATCTAATCTTGTATTAAAATGGTTAAATTTATTTTTAGAAGTTTACTCTTTTAAAATAATTATTTAATTAGAAACAAAATTTTTTACATCTTGATTTTTTTTATTTTAAAATAAATCTATATAAATAGCTTAATGTATATAAATAGTTTAATAACTTTTATATAATATCTTCATAAATTTTCAATTTTGAAGGAAAAAGAAGAAAAAAAGTTTGAAGAATATTATTGGAAAGTATAAAAATATATCTTGAAAAGGAATAGATATATCTCGGAATAGATTTAAGATTCATGTTATATAGAGCTTTAAATAAAATGAATATATATCCGATATTTCGAAAGTAACAGAAAAAGGAAAATATTGTAACAAAATATAGAAAAGTATAACTAAAAAAGGTAAACCTAAACTCTGTTTCCTTTTCTCTGCGTTGGTTGCATATGAAATAAAGCAACTTCGCTTCCTGGATTTCGAGGGATAACAGAGAGGATTGCAGAAAAATGTAGGAAAGCGCGGTCAGGGAGAACATTGACATTCGCGTTTGCATTTGAGACATATTTGAAATAACCTTGAAAATGGTGAACTTTACATCCGTGAATTTACTCGAATTGTAAAAATTTTGATGTAGAAAGTGTAAGCACCTCCGACCGACTGAAACATCTCAAGAGAGGATTTTTTCATAAATATAAAACAAATTTTTTTTTGACAAAAGTGTCACGAAATTTTTCGTAACTTTATAGTTTTATTATACGTCTCATATGTTATATGATACCAACGAATTTGTTTTAAGTAAATTCTCTCTATTTTTACTCTTTATCACTCAGCACTGTTACCGCAATGGTTTCGACGCGGTGTGTTCTTTGATCTGCATCGTTTCTATAATGTTCTGTACTGGTCAACCGTAACTGAATACGTATTTTTTTTTTTTTCCATACAGCTTTTACCGTTTACAATTTCAACAGACGTTTGAAATGGTTTAAACGAAAATTTGATTTGCCGGTCGGAAAGTAATCGGTTTTGAGTTTATCTTGACGTATGGAATGCGAAATATTCATCATTGTTTTTACGTTTGTTAGTTTCTACGTAACAAGATTATATTGCAGTAAAATATAACATTAATGTTGGAAGTTGCAGTAAATGTACTGCCTTCTTAAAAATTAATAAATTTAATTCAAACTCGCTTTCGCAACAAATATGGATTAACGGTCATGTCGATGTAACAAAGAAATTAAAAGCGTTGCCGTTATATTCTCGCTCATATTTGGTTTTATACTCAAAGTAAAGCGCATTTCTTTTTTCGGTAGACTTCAAGTCAGAATCGGATGAAAACGCGGGTGTAATCTGACTAAAAACAAAAATTATTCCCAAAAACGTTCAGTGTACTGACTAGATTAATAAATGTTGCGCGTTAACATTGGGGAAAAAAAAAAAATGTAAAAAAGTGTTTTGTTTTTCGTTTTTGCGCTTCGTGAAAATATAGTTTTGTACAGTTCGCGTGTATTTTCAAAGAATTATATTTTCTGCTGTCCCCTTGCCTCCTGTACATCATACACGAATCAGAGGGTCGGTGCAGAGCAATTAAACATGTGACAGGATTCAAAATGTACAAATCGTTGTTAAACGACATTGCAAAATGTGGACGCGTTTGTTTGTTGCCTGCAATTGATTATCTTATTTATCGTATTTTTATTTGGTTTGTTCATCGAAATACATGTACAGTAAATATTATTTAAAAATATGAAATTTCATCATTTCCTTTGCGATTTTTTATTGCGTATGACGTAATGTGTCATACGGATATGTTTACATCATTTCTCGCTTTTCAGCGAGAAATAACTCATCGAATTGATGTCGAATCGACATTAATTCGATATCAATTCGACGTCTAATTGACGATCATTTTTCGCTGGTTGCCTTATTAATAGTTCATTTCTTTCCAGCATTTTAATGAATGCAACGCACACGTATTTAATCAATGTTATTTGTAATAACGTAATTATAAAGACATAGTCACGAGAATTATATTGTCATTAAAACGATAATAATAGTATGTCATTTATGTTATAATGTAATATAGATAATGTATAAATTTTAAATCCGGATGATTGTTAGGAAGTAATGAATAACTGTTTAAATCTCTCTAGCTTTTCGATCCAGCATCCAGTACATACACGTATCTACTAGCCGATATCAGCGATAAGGAAGCGATTTTAATCGATCCGGTCATCGAGTGGGCTGATCGTGACAAAGCAATCGTCGAGGAGCTGGGATTAACGCTGAAATATGCCCGTGAGTTATCAACCGAGATCATTATCTCGCCCGTAAATATTGTGGTTTGCGAAAAATAGGGAAAAATCGACGCGCGGAAGTGCCGCGCACTTTTTCGTATCATTCGATATTTTTTAGTCGGAATTGTGTACCTTGCATGTTACACTCCAGCTCGATTACACGTGTAGTTTACTTGCATATATTTTTTGTAAATTTGATAATTTGAATTTTTGCGATGTAGCAGCGTTAGAACAATGTACCACACGTGAACATCTATAATCGCTATTCATTTTGAAAAAGTGTCTCACTTGCGTCAATTCTATCACGTAATTTTATGAAAGTATATTCATTTAAAATAATATTAGAAATTATTGCGATATTCTCGCAAATATTCTCGTATTTCTGAGGTTCAGCTTATGCCACTTATATGATGTAATGCAGTGATCGTTTTAGGAGAGTTCCACTGAAGAGCTATTATTACACTTGAAATATCGGTTCAAATTCGGAAGCGTTGCTTCAACTACGTATATGAAATTTCGGAGAAACTTTCTGGAAATATCTACCGGATGTTAAGCTTTACATATCGACGTTTATTGCCCTTTTAACTTTTACAACTCGCGAAGTGCCAAATCAATATCGATAGCCACTTCCACAACGTTTCGTGTAATAGAATTTTTCCAATTTTCTAGCTTTTTTTATTTTGACATAACTGAACGTTCTGAAACGTTTCTCAACCGACGCATATAGTTGCTAACAGTTATTGAGACGTTGTTTCAAAATACAAAGTGCGATTATTAACATTGCATAATATTAATCATCCCGCGGTTGCAGAAACCTAACATTTATTGACGTACTTCGCCCGTAAAATACTCGAATCGATAACTAATTAATTACGTACACTAATTAACAACAAAACGTATTATCTTACCGGCGTCGTTACTCGATATCGTCGGAAATGTACTTGTCGGCAATTACGCGATGCCCCGTGCCCGTGATTTACGAGCTGAGGGCGCAGAGTTATATCGCGAACTATCCTACTAACCGACCAATATTTGCCGAACTTCGTAATGAATTAGCATGCAATTCCGCCGCCGCCGCTAAGGACGGTCGTGGACCTCGCATAGTTTCGCCATTGTCCTGGGGGTTAACACGCCGATGGACCATAAACCCGGTGAGAGTGCGCTCGGGCATATTGTTGAACTTCGCCAATTTCGATAAAGAACTTCGACTTCGGCACGAGCCGATTCCGCGGCCGCTGTATAATTCCCAAGTGTATCGTCACGACGAGAGCATTATTTCAACAAATCGTGCTTATCGCATACGAGGGCGGATCTGCATGAAAATTAATTAAGTTTAACCCTTGATTGAAAGTTTGACTAATCATCAGTAATGCAGCTGTTGAAGTTATATATCATACGTCCGCTGATCGAAGTAATAGTAAGAAATAACGTAATCTCTGTAAACAGAGAGATTAAAATTTGATATACAGGATGAGATAAATAAATCTGACCTCAGAGTTTTGTGTTTATCAAATCATTAGTAAAGTATAATTTATAAAAAAATTCTGGAGTATTTATAATTATATCTTAAATATACATATATTACATAAAAATGCAAAAAATAATTAATATTTAAAATAGCCATCTATTTTAGCTTTAATATAATAAGCTTTAAGGTACTTCAAGAATTCAATGATGGCCGCGTATTTTTCCAGGGATAAATTCTCCCGGGTATAACCAATAGAGTGATCTCCAGTTCATCACTGATGGAAAATCTGTTGGTGCAGTCTTTTTGTACTTAATAAGATGTAATTAATACTCTCTCTCTCTCTCTCTTCTTCTCCAGAATTTGTTCTTTTTTTAATATGCGTTACTAGCAAACTGACGTTGCATACTTATAATTATCTTTTCGTGCTTAATTATTTTTGCGACAAAACAACGACAAGTAGCGTTATTATCTGGATAATGATTTGATAAACAAAATTTTGTGGTCAAAACGTTTTATCTCCTTGTGTATGTTTTTAAAAATATAGATTTAATGTATAGTAAATAAAATATAGAAACGTAGAATGTAACAATTTTATATATTATAATTTTTGTATTTTTTTCCTTTTTATAACACCTTAATTTTTAATCGTTATTAATTTAATTAGTATCTGTCTTTATTCGCGCAGGCAGCATTAACCCTTTCAAAATTTGCACCTTTAATGGAGAAGGGACTTTCAGTTCGGCAAGAAGGAACAAAGTTTAGGACGTCGTATATCATGGTAAAAAAAGGGTTGACAAGATTACCTTATTACTTATTGTATTATCAGACCGCGAAGTGGTTTTTACGAGAGATTGCTTTGGCTAAGTGGAACGTATGCACTTGTTTATGCGAAACTCTGCGTGTGCCAATTCTGTCCCGAACAAACAGACATTTCCATAATACAGCTCTCTCTATTTTCCAATAATGCAAACGCCATTAATGCTGCCCCACTCCCGCAAAACTATGCGCATTATTCGTAACTCAGTCATACAAAGAGAGCGAGGCCGCTAATTAGATTAATAGATTTAACGTAATTTAATTATCTATTGAATCTAAATTATATTCACGGGTATTTGTATGCGCAAATATTTTAAAAATAACGTACGAACTATTTCAGAACTTTCGATCATTAATTTTAGACTTTTTAATCAATATCGAAGCATCAACTGCTCGCTACGACATTTTAAACGACAGTATTATATATATATATATATATATTTCTTTAAAAATTAATCCCACCATTTCTTATAGTCACCTTTAAGTCATTTATCAAATTTACAACGATATTGGTATTAAATCAGGCGCTAAAATTTCGTGACTACCATCATTTTTCTCGGTTCTACGACATTCTGCAACATATATATTACGGAAATATGATACAATGACGCTTATTATTATGGGTTTGCTGGACAGAATAATGACTGGCGTCTTTGCTCTGCGTCTTGCTTGACAGTCTTTCTTGCTGTTGCAGTGAACACGCACATGCACGCAGACCACATCACCGGGACGGGCCGATTGAAATGCCTGTTGCCCGGCTGCAAGTCTATGATATCGCGCAACAGCGGTGCGAAGGCGGATGTACTTCTAGAGCCACACGATCAAGTCCAATTTGGCAGACATCAACTGAGAATATTGCCCACCCCAGGTCATACCGAAGGTTAGGAACATTCTCTCTTCGTATATAGATTCGGCTTTGTTAGTAATGTACTCTGGAGAACTTGGGTGTTCGGAGAATTTATGCGTTGGAATTTTGAGATAAATCAATATTTATTAAAGCCGGATTATATATCAACAATATGGAAATTATACAATCAAAATTTTCAATATTTATGAAGGATCCCGCATTAATTATATGGAAAATTGAGTCCCGATGAAATGGGTTTAGTTTTCACATATGCTTTATAATAGCTTTATAACGTGGCAAATAAAAGTTGACACAAAGATAATGGATAGTTTTTTAGACTTGTGTCTATGACATCTTTTGTTCAACACATTAGATATAAGTTACGATATATATGTAAAACGATTTACCATCTAATTTATAGTAGTACTAATCAGTACTAATTATTTAAGCTTTTACGAATTAGTTATATACTTCCTACTTTGTTATTTGCTTTTATCTTCATTTTTAACGACTCGGATGTTCTTATTTAATGTGTTTTAAATTTTATATGATGTATTAAATACTTTCGCAACACATCTGTATACTGTTCCACTTTGCAACTCATTAATCTTTAAGATAGAAAGTGGAGAATAACTCGGGAAATTGATACGCGCTTAATTGACGCCATTAAGGTTATACATATTACTGGTGAAATATATAAAACTATTTTTTTTTTGTCACTCGGAAAACGTAACTTTTGCTTTCGCCTATTTTTTCATGCGGTAAAATATTATACCATTGTCCATTTAGCTAGCATCCCACCATCACCTATGTGTCAGCTACATGGAGTGGTAAAATAGAGCACAACGCCGTCCTATAAGGGGCTAAGTGCATAGTGTATCATATTTGATACATACGTGGATTTCAGCGTTTTCTCGACATGTTCTGTGAGCTATTTCACGTTACGATATATGTACGTATATGATATATTGTCTTGTTGAGTCTACGAGTGAAAAATGAGTCTTGGTATTTTTCCCTTTTCTTATCTTTATCATTTTCGAGAATTGTTTTGCTTGTTAACGTTCATTTTTGATATTGGATTACCTAAGTTTCGGTTTATTTAAAAAAAAGCTCCAAATTCCGAATGAAAACTGCACATTTCCTTTTAAGCTCTTATTTTCTCTTTAAATACCAGTGTACAACGACGTATTCCGTAAATCATCATGACGCAATCTGGTTTAACGCGATTTTTAATGCGCTCGCGCGATGAATACGAAACACAATTTTCGAGTGGTGCAACAGAAGTTTCGGGGCAATAATGTTACAGGAAAGTTACAGAATACATCCGCACTGCGATATCGAGCGCATTTCTTACGATCGATCGCGCATTCACCTGGTCTATTATTTTATTAATTGAGATACCGAGAAAAAATACGTGAACTACTTTTTGTGAGTGCTGTGAAGGACGGTTCTATTTCATACGTAGATTGAAAGGATCAAAAATATTGTATAACGCAGGTATATCTCGAACGCAAGATCGATCTGATCAATTGCAGTTTCTGTTAGAAAGACGAACGCGTGGAAATTGTTAAAAATATTGCATTGACAAATATTAAACTCAATAATTTCTGATATGCTTATTGATGAAAGAAGAGAAAAATAAGAAATTATTTATACAATTTCAATTTTGAAATATGTTATATAATAGAACATTTTGTTCTATTCCCATTTTATCTTACTTATTATATTATATATAATTTTTTTTGTATTCAAATATTTCTGAAAAAGATTAAAATTTTATCTTAATATTTTGGCTTTGTCTATCTTTGTCTTCTTTTTTATTATTCTCAGAAGATGAAAAGTATTTGCTGCATCCTTTTGAATTTTACACGCGTGTTGCGTATGAGATACGGTCTCTGGAGTGATTAACTTTTGAGCTGTTCTCTATCCAGGCCATATCGCAATTGCAATTTTCTGCATTTTTTTCAAGACACGTGTTTTTATATTCTCTTTTTATCATTGAAGAAATTTTACTTACATTAAAGTTTTCTTATACAGGTTGTCCCGAAATTGATCTCCACTACTGAAAATTATAAACTTAAGTCGATCAGCTTGAATTTTTTACTGAACTTTAGCAAAAACGTTTGATAGAGTATCATTTTCTTTTGCTCATCTGTTAATATTAAAGTTTGTAATTAATTTTTAAATTAAACTACCACACTGTGAGAAATAATTTATTCCGTATTAAATAAAAACCATATTTATATCTAATTTAGAAGCTCAAAGAAACTTATATAATTCTCTTTAAATTGCTATTTGCTAATTAAAAAATTATTAATTTTTAGCAATGACATGAACAGCTTCTTTTTTTAGTTTAATCTCAAATGTTTATGATACTCAGTAGCTTCGTAACATGTACACATGTATGTATGTACTCGTACTGCGTTACTAGAGTTTATTGCACAGCGAAGCGGAATGAAAAAAGGGATACTGCCATTCTTATCGATCGTGCCGAATTCGCTACTCGTCGTCACGGCTCAATCGTTTGTTCGGGAAAAATCCTGAAAGCGTCTACTGAGCTATCTCGATTATCGAACTCGTTCGATAGGCTCGATTTTTCGTACCGAATACGCGAATGCGTGCATTAAATACCTGCGGGTTAGATATTCGATATCAGCTTCATTCCTATACGCCGTAAAACTCCAACGATGCTGATTAAATTCCTAGATATTTCAGCTCTTTCACGGAAAATGCACCGCATACATTTCACGAGAAAGGAAAACCGGTAAATATTTTGTAAAGCACATACGTTACACACGTTACACGTGAAGAACATAAATATGATTCTAGTTGAAACTTAATCTTGTTAGATTATATTTTTTATTTATCATTAACCTGGTCTTTACGAAATGGTTAGAAAAATAGTTATTGTAATTCTATTATATATATTGGCAAGTTTTATTACTGCACGCGTTTGTACAAAACCTTCCAATTACCGCACTTGATTCTAAACCATTTTTTATATCCGGAGGGGATACGAATCATGTTCTTCATGTCGGATACACCGATCTATGGCATGCCAATATTTTTCGAGCGAACGTAATATATCTGTTCGCAATTTCTTTCTTTTCCGTCTTTTCTATTTTTCTTTTTTGCCAAATGCGATATGGCAAATGGAATGAACGAGCCGACGAGCGAGAGCTCAGTTTATCGTGCCGTTCGATTACGAAGCGAATCGCCGCGAAGAGATAAATACATATTTGGCTTGAAAAACGACACGATATTTGCCGGATGGCGGTCGAAGTGAAGTGAAGCACGATATCGTAAATATTCCATCTGATATCTGTGCAGGTTGCGTCACGTACGTTTGCGATGAGCAGGGAATCGCGTTCACGGGTGATGCGCTGTTGATACGGGGGTGCGGCAGAACTGACTTTCAGGTAAGCTCAGGAAACTCAATAGAAAGGTCCGTGTCTCTTTGCGGATACGCGTGATTATTGCACGTAATATCCGTGTCTTCGATCGCACGTATATGTGCGATTAAAGGGAACAACGGTGTCGTATCTTCTCGTCCCGAAGAGCGAGAATGTCTGTGATAACATTTAATATAAAATCCATTTACCTCGTTATGGGTGTCTTCTGTGATCATAAAAGAAAGAAATGCGAGAAGAAATGGGAAAAATCTGAACTTTTATGTCGTGTAAAAGAAAAACTGAGTACGGTTCCCTAGAATCTCGATTCAGTATTATTAACTTGTGTCATTCCGTTCCGGCTGAAGTATCTCGAGATCTAGCTGTAAATAAAAACTGGCCAACAAATGAAACTCACAATTAGACGACCATGTTCAATGTTAAATGTGCGGTGAGAACGGTCCTCGTCAAGTTGGAAACCGTATTCACGTTTTTTTGTTTTTTTTGCGGAGCATATGCGGTCTCCTACGCGGTTAATATTATTACATTTTTGTACTCTTACTTTGCTTGCCATTTTTAACTAGTGACTTATGAAGATCAAATTAAGATCATATAGATCTATTATTAATTAATCTACAGATTTTTCGTTTTAAAGATTTGTTTTAAGGATGTATTATACATCTTTCTTAAATGTATTACACGTATTAAAAAAAAGAGAGAATTATGAAAATATTACAGATTTTTCTATATTGAATTTATATGAAAATAATTCAAAAAGTTTAGTAGCCATTTAAAATTTAGATTAAAAAATTACTTCAATAAGAAGTACACTTATTTTTAAAAGATAATTAAAATAAAACAAGAAATAATATTAATTATTAATTTTATTAAACTGTTTTGTGTAAATATATTTATTGAAATGAAAACATTCATTTTTGTATGTGTACAGAAAATGTAAATTTCTATTTTCAATCATTTTTTTTACAGTGATTTTATAAATCTGATACATCCTTAATAAAACAAACAAATAATATAACCTTTTTATTTATAATATAATATATTAATATATTAATATCGATTTTATTATAAATTAATTTTACTTAAAATAGACGTAACTTGCGCGATTTGAAGTTCAGTTATACAATACATATATTCGCCATTATGAAATTTCGAAAGTTAAATAAAATTATTCAAGCAAACATTATTAAACACTAAGATGTGCTTTGACTGAAAATAGTATTATCTCAATTTGATTTACTGTTATGAGTCTAAATTTAATTTATAATTTAATAAAAGTTGTGTAATCGATATTTCTTTGAAGAGGTCAATCCTATAATAGTTTGTAAAAAAATCCAAGCGTAAAAAGTGCGGTAATTTTTGGCACACCGTGTAGACAGATTGCACGTGACTCATGAAAATCTTCCTAGATTGATCGACCGGCACTCCCGAGTTCATTGACCCAAGTAGATATTAATTTCAGCCAGCAAGTTGCCATTACGTTGATCTCTTTCAGTGCATTGCTATATCGTTTAATAAAAAAAGCAAGCGGCTCTTTTCTTCGGACCGGAAGTGTCGTTTGCAATTTGTCGCTGATATAATTGTCGGATGTCGATGATTGGTTATTTGAAATGTCACAACTAATCGACGATCGATGTCGACCTGGAACAGACGCGAACGACGCGGCGGCATCCTGAATTCTCGTTGAAACGTTCGACGGACGCGTGCAATAACATTTTCACTACGTGTCACACGTATAGTGCAAATAAACGTCGATATATCATCGGGAATATGAAAGACTTCTTCTCCGCAACTTTCGCGTGATGAATAGCCGTCCGTCATCGTGCTCGACCGCGTGTCGGTGCATTTTATAAACGTGCCTCGACCTTTTCTTCCCTCGAAAGCGCGGCTTAAACAACGTTTTAACACAGGAGAACGATCGGAATCATTATTTTTGCTCGTGACGTGCTTCAAACTTTAATTTAAATTTTCCTTTATATTGTCAGACAGTAACTAAATAAGACCTACATTGATTGAAAGTTTGAATTACTGGCTTCCAATGAATATATACCAATTTCAACGTGTGAGAATGATTTCTGCGTCTATAGATAATTTATTAAGGTTGATAAAATTAACAATTGCACGACTTTTATTGAACAAAATTGAAATTAAATTTTTAGCAGTTTACGGATTGAATGTGTATTTAAATTTATGGAAAAGCACGAAAGATCCACTTGACTATTTATAAGGCCTTTATTTGTCATGTATTCACATCATCGATTGTAAAAATCTATTTAATAGTGATTCAGTTTTTAATTCTTCATTTTTATTTATTAATTATTTTTTCTCGCGTTTTTTTATTCTCATTTATCGTGTATTACAAGTCTTATAGCCTTATGACATAATTGCCGTCCGAATTACTGTACCACCTGTGCGCAGGGCGGATCCGCCGCGGTTCTGTACAAATCCGTTCACGAGAAGATCTTCACGCTGCCGCGAAATTACCGGCTATACCCCGCACACGATTACAACGGTAGAACAGTCACCACCGTAGCCGAGGAGAAAGCTCTTAATCCCAGGCTGTCCAAGTCTCAGGAGGAGTTCGTCCAAATTATGAACAACCTTAACCTACCTTATCCCAAGATGATCGGTAAGTTTAGCAAAGACATTTAATTTACTAGATGCCAATCTTTTTCTATTATCATCTTAATGTCAACATTAACATAATATTTAAAAAAATATATTATTGTCGTAGAGATAAATAGAAATAATTTTATTATAAAACTTTTGTATTACACACATTTGTTGATTTCTTGAATAGCTTCTGAGATATAAAAAGAACTATTACCTATAAGGGATGGTTTTACCCCTTAAAACCGTTTGTTCGCATCAGTTGATATTTTCTAAATTGATCTATTTACGTATACAACCTGTATGTATAAAAAGTTTCATTAAAATTAGCATTGCACAATTTGGAAGGCTCCCTTGTTAAGCGTTGTAGAGGCTCAAGCGGTACAACGCCCTTGATAACGATCAGGAATAATTAATGTATTGATGGAACGAGGCTGTTGTGTTATCTAGAATGCGTTATCGAAACGGTTCTCTCAAAGAAGCCAGGCGGTTGCCGCAAGTCCCATTGGGATTCACATTCTATTTTTTGGGGTTGTGCACGTTCCGCTATCAGCTTGATTCGCTGATAAGCTAATAGCCGTCTTTAGGACGTTACGGCGTCGTCCTACCTATCGGTACAGTCCGGGAAGCAACTGCTGAATCGAGAAGATCACGTCGCTCGAACGTTGTGCTTGATCACGTAGCTTCTTCTTACGAGTAAAAAGTGAAAAAACTCGGAAATTCCGAACAAATTTGCGGAAGTGGCGAAACTTTTTCCGACGCTTGAATCGATTGAATGAGATGTGAAGCGACGCAAAGCACAAGTTAAGCGAAAAATTATTTCACTGACAGTTATGTGATTGACGTAGAGAAGAAAATGATAAAAAGAGTTCCTTATGCAGGATGAGCGAATTAAAATAGGATTTTGCACGAATCCATTTCGCGAGGTTTTCAAATTTTCAATGTTTGATACCGGGAATCGATTTTAAGACGAATTTTCAAGATTGATTTTCTTTTATTCGTAAATTCTTTTTTCTATTTTCACCTCTTCTGATTTAACTTTCACGTGACGCGATCTTTAAATTAAAGAAAAATTGATGGTTATAATTTCACGGGAAGGAATATTTGCAGCCACACCGTGTCGCCTTCGGATAACTCTTCTTCGCGGCGCGTCTAAATATTAAATGTGAACAAAGACGCCGTTACATCCTATTGGTGGAGCGAAAGGAAATCGATGTATTTGCCAGTTTGCATACCGTTGTATGTTGAATAAATGAACCTTTCATCTCACAGAGGCAAATTTTGAAAAATGCACGAAGTAATATTAACCAAAAAAAAAATGAATTATTAAAATGATTTCATATGATGAAAAGCAATCATCGTATACAGTTAGTTATATCTGTATACAGAGTTATAATGTATAAATCGTTAGTCGAAAAGTTGAAAAAACTCGGTAGAGAGTAGAAACGGTAGAAAAACATTAGATTATTGCCCGGGTTTGACATGTACCATTTTTGCAACAAAGAGCTTGAAGGTAATACGACGTTGTTTCAGATAAAGCTGTACCGGCCAACAAAGTTTGCGGTCTATACGAGGTGAAAGAAGAAAAGGACGAACAATGAAAATTATTGACAGCGCTGCAGCCGATGCACTAGCACGCTAGTATTGTAATTCTACATTCTATTAATAATTCATGGTGCCGATAGTTAACGTTCATATGTCACGAATAACGCGAGATTATTCCCCGTTTTAACCGTATATTATTATCGATGTTATTAAATGAGAAATAATCGCGTATCTTGTCAGTTTGCCAACAAAAAGTATTCAAAAGTGATATAAGGCATGTGATATGGCAATTTTTAATATATATGTATATATAATTCACGCATACATAACAATGATGTGGTTGAATTATTTTCCTCCATTCTGCTGTTTGCATGTGCGAGCTTGACATTATTTATTTATGTTTATATCCGCGCTATTTTAATGTATTAGAATCTATTTTAAAAATTTATACGTTAAACGGGAGACATGCCCCATCTCTTTTTACATGCTAAAATTTAATTATGGCATTTTGTCTGTGTGCTTTCCCGTACGAGCGTTTTATTCATCATAACAGTAACGTAACCGATAACGCGTATCAAATGAGCGCTTTATTTCATGTGCACACTTTAATGGGTTAAAACGCGCGTTTTATGCGTTTATTTCATGTTCTTTGAGGGATACGACATGTATAAAATGTACGACCAAATGACGGAACTTGGTATAACATTCTTAATGGACGTAATTTTGTTTATGATAGAAATAAAATTATATTACGCAATCGCACGTTAACATTTTGTATCTGACGTATGCGTCATACAGTCGTTACGAATTTTTGGGATAAATATTTGCATTCGCATTTCGAATTTATCGAGAAATGATTTCTTTTTTCCGTAATTTAATTGGTGTCTCAGAATTACGACGTAGATATTTTACGGACAATGTCTCTAAAGGCTCTCAAGTAGATTTTTCCTTAATGGAAATTTTTCCACTAGGCTTTAATTGCCGGGATATTTCACTAATTTCATTCCAGGGACTTAAAGTGAATAACAAAACTTCGTGCTACGATTTTCGGGTGAGTTCTTGTTTTAACGGAAAGCTTTTACTTGTCGGATCTGCCCGCCGAGAGACGTAACGTTGGGAAAACGTATAGACGATGGTCGCTGGCCAAGTAAAACAATCGATCGAAATATTTTTCGCTAAGCTCAGGGCACCCCAGGTTAAAATATTCTATGCATTTAGGATTGTCATCCCTACGACCGCGTCGCGACGTCGCGACGCTCTTGCTCGAGAGACCTCTCTTGAACTGCCAAGTTTCCCGTAACACCTCAATTTCGCAAATTACAGTCGCTTTGAGTTATCGCTTACTTTGTCCTTGACAACGTATTCGGCGTGTATCATGTCATAATATACTTTTTTAACAGACGATTGTCATTGAATTCTTTTTGTATAATACGTTTTTTATATGTCAATGGATTTAATGGAACTCCTAAAAACGTATATAATTGACCTCCTCTAGGTTGAATGAGCTTTATCTCTGATAATTCATCCATTTCGAATTGTCAGACTTTTTCAACATTATATAATGATAGAAGCCATTATCTCATTTAAACTGTATTTACTTTAAATCTTCAAATGATCATCATTGCCACTCTACACGCTATCATCACATACAATCGCAGACTCATCGATAATCTCGACTGAATATTCCAATTATACTCGGATAGAGCCGACACTCTCGCGGCACGATAATGCAATCCACGTGTAATTAGGAAGATCCGCAAATCCATCATCTACTACGAGGATCGAGGGGCTATTTGCAGTTTGTGGTGCGCTAATAATAACTTTCGGGCCAAGAGGTGCATACGGCTTCATAAATTAGCGAAACAGAGACTATCGATAGGAAGAGAAAAAGGTAGAGTGAGAGAAGAGAGGAGGGGGTGAGGGAGAGAGAGAGAGAGAGAGAGAGAGAAGGCAGAAAAGCGTTCATTGCTAGATCCTAGGACAAACCCTCGAAGGACAGAAGAGAGAAAGAGCGGGGGAGGAGAAAGAGACAAGGCCCTTGTAATCGGGTTGTCGAAACCGGCTCCGTGAGCCTCGTCGAAACTCAGGGTGAAGAGACCCCCATGGTGCTGGTGCTGGTTTCCTACTGCATAGCTGAGGGTTGAAATCGATACCGTTTCCAGGGTAACCAGTACGGCTACGGTGCCCGACACACGGGCGAAGGCACACGGGCCAAGGCTACCTACTCATGCATTTTCATGTGCCCGCCGAAAAAGGCCAAAGACAAGAGCGTTGTGTTGGCTCGCTTGATGTTGATTCGCTCGCGCGGGCGAGTCGCGCGATCGAGTGACGAGGAATTTTCTGATCCTGGTGAAAATTTCAAAAGAACCCAATTTTCCAACAACGAACTCTTCTCGCTTATCAAAACTTTCTGTAAAAAATATGATTCGATGTATACACCTATTAATTTGATTTTTACTATTTAACTACGTTTTTTTCTCTCTTAAATTCTTTCTCTTAAATTTGTCTTTTGCTTATTCATATTATGAGATCGCTCATTGACGATCATAATAGCATTCGGTGAAACAAAAGATTACTTTGTTTTCAGTTGGAATGTTTTTTTTTTTTTCGTTTGGAATCAGTGAATTCGTTCCACGGTGAATTTTTTAGTCAAATATTGAAGGCTATATAACTCCGGCGTTTGGATTTATTTTTTGATTATGTAGAGGTGAAAAAGACTACGCCTCATAGATCTCTCACGTTTTCATTGTCAGGGTTAAAACGAGAGAAGCTAGTAATATTTGAACTTTATCTCAACTCTACTTAACTTTTATATCTAATCTTGTATTTAGTCTCTTTATAATGTATCCGTTCTTGTTTGACTTTATGATCTATTGCTGATGATTGAAACATGTTAGTAAAACTACGTGTCTTAATTAATATCAAGTTACATAGAGTATCTAGACTTTCAGCGGATATTAATTTACGTTACTCATTACGTTACTTTTGAGTAGTTTATACTTAGAAGAAACAAAAAGGGAATATAACCGCAAAAGCTCATCTCGTAAAACTTAATAATTCAAAATTTAATAATATGTAATACATAGCATATATATCTATTCTATAAATTCTTGAAGTAGAATTTCCACTTTAAAGAGTAAAAATTGAGCCAGTCTTGAAAAAAGAGTGGCTTAATTTTTAATCTTTAACAGCAAGATTTTACTTTTCAGAGAGAGATTCACTTTCTACGTTTTTCTTCAGAGAGTACGTTCCTTTACTATTTTTTTTCTTCTTCAATCTAGTTAATGATAACTATTAATCTAGTGATACTAATAAGATTTTAGTTTCGTAAAGTGAGCAAGATATTGGACAAATAAAGTGAACAATGAAAGAAACAAGCAACAATATTTCTTTACGTCGTTCGCGATGGAGCCCTCGTTATCTGAGGCGGGTCCGAGTGGCACCTGCCCCATTTGTACGCGTTAGAAGATACACGGATTGTTCGCCGCATTTTATCGCAAGGACGGCCCTCGCGGTGTTATCACTGAAAAATGGCCGTGCTGTTGCGAGGAGGTGGACGGACCATCCAGTTTGGAACTTAATGTGTTACTTTGCGCGGCAGCGGCAACCCTTTTATGCTTTCACTTCGCTACTTTTCTCGCTTTCATCACGAAGTTCGGCCCCTTCAAGAAACCGTAATTTCGAAATACCACGGTCTTTGAGGACTCAAGGCTGTTTTCACGATTCGATAATTATTCTCGAAGAAACGGTATTAGAGCATGTTCCTTTCTCTTTCGCTCTCTTTCTCTCCATCATATTTTCCATCAGCATGAGACGATATACAGAATGAGGTAGATAGAGAGGAAGAGGAAAAGAGAGAGAGAGAGGGAAAGGAAAAAGCGGAAAATAAAAGCGTGCCACAATTCGCGAGCTCGTAATTGATTCTGAAACGCGCGGGATTCCCCGCGGCCGTGTTAACGTATTATTTCAGCGCCGCGTTTCGCGACGGAGCTTCGCGAATGCGATACATCGAATGGCAAAATTACTATTTCGACGTGCGGAGCCAATTATCGTAACCAACGATGTGTTGTAACGATTGCATGTAGTTACGCACTCGGGGCTCGACTACAAATACCGTTTTTTTTTTTCAACTTCTGTAAACAACGTTATGTTTATTTAACCGCATTTTGCAAAAAATTTAGAACATACCTGGTCGCGTGCGATCGAGTAATTGTCAGCCGCTTTTCTCACAAATGTGATCATTTAATCAATGATCGTCTCGCACGTAATCGTGGAGAATATATATAAATCATATAAATGTACAATATAAAGGGAGATATGAAAAGAGCTATAAAAAGAAAATTAAAAATTTACTTTAAATTCGAGCTCTGGATTATCATATGTATTTTTCGAGCGGATGTGTATTTTAGTGAATGTCATTTTTAGCTTATAAAGCAAATTGAAAAAATCTAGAGGCTTACATTTAAAAGACTATTCTTTGGCAAAATGCATTTTTAGTTAACATTCAAAGCCGAAAGACTGATGGAGATTCGCTAAATTATATTTTAATATAAATTAGCGAAAAGAGAGCGCCGCGCTTTATTGCGATGGCATTTCCGAGTACTGCTTAGCTATCTAGGTTTTATTTCACAGAGGAATAAAATAATTCTAATTAGCGATACACTCGTTTTTTTTTTTTTTTGGATGATTGTAATATGAAGTATAACAATATATATCCACCGAAGTGATTTTTGCTGAATTCAACATTAAAAAACTGTTGGATTCAGCAAAAATTAAAGATTCACAATAGGTATTTCTGAAAATATATTACTTTTTTGATAATTTTTTTACATATAATATTTATGTTACTCGAAAATATATTCAACTTAAATTAATATACAGTAATTTGAGAGTGGATCATTGGTTTGGAAACACACGTGAAATATGTTAAAAATTCAAATTTCCCAACGGTTTATAACAATCTGATCTATAACAGACACAATTCCATAACTGGGGTAAACTCAAAATTCTCATAAAAATTTGTAATTCAGCCATTCTCTTTGGTATCTGCCCCCCCGCCCTTTCTCGCGCCGAATTAAATCTCGGTAATTAAGTCGCAAAAGGTAGTGTTTTTACTAACACATTCGGAAGAACCGAACGTGTTTTAATCAATTCTGACCTCCCGCAGCTTAATTCGTTGAAGCCCCTGTAATCGTTTTAACTCGAAAACCGTTAACGCATAGTATTTTTACGAGGAGAAATCTCTTTCTGTTATTTTCGTGTACGCGGAGCGGAGAAAAGTTTATTAACGTCGGTGGCAAACGCGGGCGGCGTGCA